TATTATTATTTTATTTTTGGGTGTGAGGAGGTGGGGGATCATTTGGCATGAAGCCAACATAAACTCAAAAACGTAAGGGACAAGGATGCTCAAAGGTTGCAAAGGCGCTCCAAAGGATTGAACAAAAAACAAAGCAAAACTGGACTCAATATTCAAGGCTCCTGAACCAAGAAGAAATTTGAAGAGCTGCTTGCTCAAGCAAGTTGTTAAAATAACCCAATCCTTTTCATAAGTGCTTTTCAGAGGTGCACAGAAACCAGGAAGAGGATTAAGAAAGTGAAATTGATCGCCACTTTGAGTAAGAGCTGACAGTGCTTGTAAAGACAGGTTTGCAATCAGTAAATTGGATATCAATGTTTCCTACAGCATTAATTACTTGGATTATCCTACTGTATATAAAAATGGCTTAAGATACTCACATCCCTTGTAGCTAGAAGCTGAGAAAAAGGATATTACATCCATACCAGGAATATTAGTTAATCCTAAAGTGCAGTCACATACCAATCCCCAAGGCACTTGAAATAAACTCATTGAGAATTATCTGTCATAATCTAGTTGGAGATGGATCTAATGTTTTCCCTTGGACAGATCACACAGATGAAGCCTGCAGAGAAAACTTCCTGTAATGGCAAACAATCATGCTTTCAGATCAACAACCAAGTCCATTACTTTCCACTATAAGTTTAATTTATAGAAATCATTGAGCTTCTTGCCAACAAAAGTAATGAACAGCTAATGACAAATCCAACCAGAATGTTTGAGGCCAACAATGCGGCCATGACAGCATAAAAGATAATAGAGATTAAAAAATTAGGGCTCAGTAATTACCATGGAAGTAAGCCTAAAAATCACATGATGTGGTCAAGCTTCTTCAGCATTCCAATGCATACCTCTGGATCTGAAAACAAAGAACATAAGAAACATATTACATACTTCCATATCACATTTGCAAAAGTGGATATGAACGTGCTTAAATGCATCCCTGGTGATTGAAACTGAACCAGGTAAGGAGAAAAAAAGAAGAGAATATTTCCAGAAACAAAGTTAAACAACAACAGCAGCAAAGCCATTATCCACAACCCAGAATCAGAGACAGACTAGAGATGAAACACAGCAAGAGGCAGATAAACCCAAGAGCAGCAAGACCATTAGTCAACTCCCAAGCAGAGGCAGGCCAGAGATGAATCCCAACAAGAGGCAGGCTATAGAGAGTATAAATACAGTAAAAATATAAATATAGGCCTGGTGCAAGCGGTAGAGTCTTATCGCCTGTGACCGGAAGGTCCCGGGTTCGAGTCGCGGTCTCCTCGCATTGCACAGGCGAGGGTAAGGCTTGCCACTGACACCCTTCCCCAGACCCCGCACAGAGCGGGAGCTCTCTGCACTGGGTACTGGTAATAAATTAGTAGTAATGGTACTGCTAATAATGTAGTTGAAGAAACTGAATTACATGGCATTGTTCTTGCACATGTGCTTCTATCCAATGGCATTTCTTGGGATCAGATCTCTAAATCTAATTTGACAACTGCCTCACATGTCAATTTTGGCCAATCCCTCTCATCACAGGTCTAATCACCATTATAGGAAGGGGTGGATGATAAGCCCAAGACTGAAACAAGAGTAGTTGTATCTAGCATTTGCTTCGCTCGAGTCAACAGAAGGTAGAACTATAATTCTTAGGGTTTGTCAAAACCATTAGTATAAGGTTGTTAAAAGCTTGGACATGAAAGCATAAGTCTTGTGTTTATCTATCTAGGATGTATCTTAGGAGTAGTTGGTGCATATGTCAGCACCTTATCTTATCTTGCTTTAGCATCTATTTAGCACCTACTTTGCAATATGCTGTAATCCTTTCTTAAGGACCAAGTATGCTATTCTATATCTACCCCAACTTGCCATAGTTTGTGGTAAGGCTAATGAAATCTGAATCTAGCCCCAAACCTGTGCTTTGGTTCCAACAAATGGTATCTAGAGCCTAAGTTCATCTAGGTACTACCCCTACCCCTATGCATCCAAATCCCGTCGCCATGTCTTATCCCCCCGGCTCTACACTGGCGCGTGGCGGTCAATTTTGCAGCAGCGCAGCGCTGCAGCAGATTGAGCCTTCACGGCAGCGGACGAGCATGCAGCAGCCCAGGCCATGCAGATCGGCAAGAGGAGGCGGCGGTGCGGGCCCAGTGGCTGCTTTCGAACGCGTGGTGGGCGGCGGCGGCGGCGAGGCAAATGACAAGCAGAAAGCCGCTACCTTGCGCTTGGCGAGGAGGACGTGGGCCTGGGCGGCGAGGACACGCGGGAGCTGCGGGGCATGGACCGCAGACGGCAACCCTGACGGACGCTTGGCTGGCGGCTTAGAAGCGGACGCTTGAACGGAAGCATATCGCGCATGGGCATGAAAGCAGCGCGGCGGGCGGCGACGCGACGACAAGCGCCGCACATGGCGCGCGCGAATGATGAGGCGGACAAGACGCAGGCCACCTGGACGGGCTCGGCGGACGCGACCACTGGCGGGATCCGTGAGTCGACCGTGCACTTGAGGCGCAGCGACTACGGGAGCAGGCGGCGCAGCTGGAGGTGGTGGACGGGACGCTGGCGCGCGGAGCCCTCGCAGGCGGCGCAGCTCCCTTCCCAGAACTGGCGCCGCGGCCGCCATGGCCGCCGCAGTTCTCCCGTCGTCCAAACCGCCTTCAAGGACGCCGGCGCCGGCGCCGGCAGCGGATGGCCCATGCTCCATGGTGAAGGTGAAGATGCAGGTGCGGCAGATGTGGGAGGCGGTGCGGTACAACGACGTCGACTATACCGAGGGATCGGTGGGCGCTAGAGGCCCTTTTTGTTGCCGTTCCACAGGAGATGAAGTCCTCCCTCACGGACAAGGAGACCGTCAAGGACGCCTGGGATTCCATCGCCGACTCACGCATCGGCAGCGCCCGTGCCCGCAGAGCCACGCTGCAGAAGCTGCGTCAGGAGTGGGAACACTGGGCTTTCAAGACGGGCGAGGACGTCGACGACTTCGCTCCGTCTCACCACCCTAATGCAGCAGTTGACGCGGGACAACGACGACGAGGAGAGCGCCGTCGAGAAGTTCCTCTACGTCGTCCCCAAGAAGTACACACAGCTGGCTGTGTCGATCGAGACGCTGCTGGACTTCTCCGAGCTGATGATCAAGGAGGTGATGGGCCGCCTCAAGGCCGTCGACCACTGCGAGCAGCTAACCTCAGAGCCGGTCACCATCGGTGGCAAGCTTCTCTTCACCGAGTAGTGGCTCGCTTGCCAGCGGGAGCGGAAGAACGAGCGCAAGGCTACCTGCGACGACACCTACAAGAACTGCGGCAGGCCCAGGCACTGGGCCATGGACTGCTGGTAGGCGAAGCGTGGCGGTCAAGCACACGTTACGCAAGCGCAGGAGGGTGACGAGCCGGCTCTATTCCTCGTACACGGGATCGAGCTACACTCCTCTCCCGAGCCGATCGCCACCGCGCTCCTCCACCTCGACGAGCTGCGCGCCCATGTCTTCCTCGGCAATAGGTCCAGCAACGACAAGATCGACAGCTGCTACCTCGACATCGGCGCCACCCACCACATGACTAGGTGGAGAGTACTCAGACATGGACTCCGGCGTGCGAGGCTCTGTCAAGTTCGGGGACGCCTCTGCCATGGAGATCAATGGCGTCGGCTCCGTCGTCTTCACCGCCAAGACCGGCGAGCACCGGCTGCTCACTAGCGTCTACTACGAGCCTGTTTGGCAGAGCTCCACGTAGCTCCAGATCCAAAAAAACAGCTCTGCTCCCAGTTTTTCTAGCCAAACGGTCTAGCTCCGCGAACTCCAGATCCACAAAAAATATGGATCTAGCTCCTAGATCCACCAAATCCACGGAGCACCTCAGGGGGTGCTCTGAAAACGTTGGCTTTGAAACTCCTCGTGGAGTTGGTGGCAATTACCCACCAATGCCACCGATTACACACCCCTGGATATCGATTTGATTTATTTTTTTCCTCGATGCACGCGAAAGGTCGCTCTGTTTCATCAGACCCCCGCGAGCTTTTCTTCTCCGTGCGAACGTGCGCCGCCGCCCACACCGCAGCGCCATCCGTCGCCATCCTGGTGGCCGGTGAGCCGCAAGAATGAGGAGATTCACTCCTCCGCCTCCTCCACCCCCTTCCTCTTCCAATCCGGTGTCCAAACAGGCACCTAGGGTTGGCCTTCTGCGTCTCGGCATTGGAGCCACTCTGGCCGTTGGTGGCGGCGCCCCTCACTTTCCTCCTCATTGGGCGGCCGTGGCTGTTGTTTCCCTCTGTCCCAGCGGCCGGGCGCATGCGCCGGGGTGGTGGGGCGGGCATGTGCATGTCGCCTCTTTGGTGGGGCTTTCGGGCGCAAGTGCATATTAGGGTCGGTAGGCGTGGCGTGGCGTGGAGGCGGCGGCTTGGCTTGGGCATGGGGGGTTGGCTCGACGCGATCGGCTCACTGCGTCTCCATGGTGGCGCTTGAGACCCACGCCGGAGATCGGCGATGAGTTCATGATGGTGGTGTTGAGCATCTCCTTCGCCAAAAGTCTTGTGAGCTAGGAGAGCGTCTTTGCATCGGCGAAGAAAAGGGCAAGGGATGATGAGGTATATATTTCTCTTCCATTCTATGCGATCTTCCAGTTGGAATTTGAACAATGTTTTGGGGAAATCATTATTAGGGTGATCAAATGGATTGGAATTATGGCTATACCGCCATTGTTTGCAAGTTGTTCGCTGAACAAGTTAGAAAAGGAAATCGACCAAACACTCATTTGAACAATGTGGGCTATACCGAGGTGAATGAACCGTTTTTTCAGAGCACCGGTATCATGTTGAAAAAACTTAACTTAAGAACAAGTGGGATAAGTTGAGGGCTGATTTGAGTGCATGGAAAAAATTAATGAGAAAGCAAACTGGTACTGGTTGGAACTGGGACAAGTGAACTATCAACATGGACCCCGAGTGGTGGAAAAAAAACCAAACAAGTGAGCACTTCTACCATGGTATTTTGTTCATTTGTAGATTTTATTAGTATTGTATACTTTCAATTTCTTACCTTTGTCAAAATATTTTAGGAAATTCCAGGCGTGGGGAAATTTAAGAATAGGCCTCTCCAAAATGTAGATGACTTGAAGGTGATGTTTGGGAACATCATTAATGAAGTGCAAGATCATTGGAATCCTATGAGTTCCAACCCCACAATACCCCCCAGCCAAGAAGCACCCAATCCTATGAGTTCCAACTTCATTGATGTTGAGGATGAGAATGAGACGGGTGGTAACAATGACTTAGACAATCGTGATGAGGTGCAGGAGGTTTCTCCTGCCGTTGCCAATGCTAAGAAAAAAGCCCATGTGATCCTTGAAAAACCTAACAAGAAACCTAAGGCAAGCACAACATTAGTTATACAAGAACACATCTCCAAGATATCAGAGAATGCTTCCTCTTTTGTGGCAATTAAGCAAGCTGGGATCACTATTGATCAAGTAATGGGCCATGTTGTCGCATGTGGGGCTGCGTATGCCAGTGATGAGCATTTTGTGGCAACTGAGCTTTTTGTCAAGAAAGAACATAGGGAAATGTTCATGACTATGTCCACCAATGAGGCTAGGTTGAGTTGGCTTAAGAGGAAGTACAATGTGATGTTTGGAAAGTGATGGCCGAGTAATCTTATGTCATGTGGACAAGTTATATTTGTCATCTTTTTTATTTAGACATATCATTTTTATTCATCTTAATGTCGTGTGGACATATATGTCATGGTCAACTTTTGTATTTGGACATGTCATTTTTTATTGATGTTAATGTCGTGCAGACAATTTGTGGTGGTCAATTTGTTATCATTTTTATGTTGTCATTTTTTTGTCTCATTTCGACATGTCATATTTAATCTTGCAGCTGTCTAGTGATGATTCTAGTGACGAGAATGAGGAATTTTTCAAAACTATCTTAGGAGGTGCTATGCTTGCTCAAATATATGTTGATATGTTCCTTACTAAAAACCCTACAAGGACGTCTACCACAAGTGGAATGGGTTTTATGTTGGAGATTTTGCGCACTCCGGGCAAATGCCATAGCCAGCTACGTATGAGCACAGAAATCTTCTTTGACCTTCATGGTTTATTGGTACAGAAAGTATGGGCTAGAACCATCCTTGCACATGTCAACCGAAGAGAGCCTAGGAATTTTCTTATTTATCTGTGCGGGAAATGAGTCTAATAGAAAAGGTCAAAATCGATTCAAGCACTCTGGTGAAACTATTAGTCGGAAATTCAAGGATGTTCTGAACTGTTTGATGGCCATGGCAAAGGATTTCATTAGGCCAAAAGATCCCAATTTTCATACTGTTCATAGGAGAATAAGGGATGATAAGCGAGCATATCCACATTTCAAAGATTGCATTGGAGCACTTGATGGCACTCATATTCGTGTTTCCCTTCCACCGGACAAGCAAGTGAGGTATATTGAGAAGACGGGAATAGCCACCCAAAATGTTTTAGCAGTTTGTGATTTCGACATGCGGTTCACATATATGTCAACGGGCCAACTGGGAGCTATGCATGACACAAGTGTGTTATACAATGCATTGAGTGTGGACGAGAAATTCTTTCCACATCCACCGCAAGGTAAAATTTATTTGAATAATTACTTTATTACCATTATATGTGACTGAAAATAAATTTATTTTTTTCATCATTTGTAGGTAAATACTACGTTGTCGATGCAGGGTATCCCAATCGCCCAGGTTATCTAGCTCCATATAAGGGTGAGAGGTATCATATGCCTGAGTGGCATAGAGGTATGGAACCGAAAACCCCAAAGGAAAAAATTCAATCGCATTCATTCTTCTATTCGAAATGTGATTGAGCGATCTTTTGGCGTATTGAAAATGAAGTGGCAAATTTTGTACAAAATGCCAAACTACCCGACGTGGAAGCAAAAAATGGTAGTTGTTGCTTGTATGGTCCTCCACAATTTCATTCGTGAGCATAATAGTGAGGATGTAGACTTTGCTCGGTTTGATCGTGATCATAATTTTGTCCCTACAATACCGCAACGGTATAATCGATTTGCAGTTCCATCGGATGGATCTACTCCAGAAGGCAGTGCCACTGTAATGGAGTAATGAATTTTCAAATTTACTTTCTATGTATGGACAATTAATTTATGTATGAACAAGGTTAATTATATGTTAAGTGACAACAATTGTTAAATTATGTTTCTTGGAACAAATTGTTTTGAGAAATTTCAAAACAAAATGCACCTGAAGTGACAACACCCAATGGTTTTCTTTCGGGTTTCATCTCCATTAGAAGTGACGTAAAAACAAAAAAAAGTACGTACAAGAAGCGACCATGCACGTCTTCACGTACAGGAAGCGACCATGTTCCCCCAAAAAATAAAAGAAAACAGCAAAAGTCCAAGGGTATAAGCGGGCAATCCAACAAAAGTCTCTATTTCTGGATCCAGAGCTGTTGTCTCAGCCAAACACATTTTCTCAGCTCCACGGTGGGAGCACAGATCCACGCTGGAGCTGCTCTGTGGTGGAGCTAGTGCTCCAGATCTGTCTTCTCAGAGTTGGAGCTCTGCCAAACAAGCCCTACATCGCCGCACTGAGGACCTCCATCATCATCTTGGGACAGCTGGATGAGAACAGCTCGCGCATGGAGATCGAGAACAGGGTCCTGCGCATCTGGGATCACCGTCGCCGTCTTCTCGCCAAGGTGAACAGGGGGAACAACAGCCTCTACATCCTTCACGTGCAGGTGGCACATCCCCTTTGTCCTGCAGCTCGCCGCAACGACGACGCTTGGCGGTGGCACGAGCGCTTTGGGCACCTCAACTTCGAGACCCTGAAGCAGCTCGGCAACAAGGAGATGGTGCAGGGCATGCCGCACGTCGACCACGTGGGGCAGTTCTGCGACACCTGCGTCCTCACCAAGCAGCGGCGGCTCCCCTTTCCGCGCCAAGGAGAAGCTGGAGCTCGTGCACGGCGATCTCTACGGCCCCGTGACACCGGCTACACCTTGAGGTCAGCACTTCTCGTCAACGACGTGTCCCGCTACATGTGGGCGGTCCTGCTCGACACCAAGGCAGCTGCGGACGCCATCAAGCTGCTGCGGAGGAGTGCGATCGCAAGCTTCGGGTGTTGCGCACCGACAACGGCAGCGGCAGCGAGTTCACGGCGTCTGAGTTCGCGGCGTACTACGCCGAGGAGGGGATCCAGCGCCACTTCTGTGCGCCGTACACCCCGTAGTAGAACGGCTCGTCGAGCACCGCAACCAGACAGTGGTGGCCACCGCCCGCACCCTCCTCAAGCAGAGAGGGATGCCGGCAATCTACTAGGGTGAGGCGGTGATGAGCGCCGTTCACCTGCTCAACCGCTCGCCCAGCAAAGCCTCGACGGCAAGACACCATACGAGGCCTGGCACGGGCGCAAGCTAGTGCTGAGCCACCTCTGCGTCTTCGGCTGTCTCACGTTCGTCAAGGAGCTCAACCACGTCGGCAAGCTCGACGACCAGAGCACGCCGGGGGTCTTCATCTGCTATGCGGAGGGCATCAAGGCCTACCGCATCCTCGACCCTACGACACAACGCGTCCGCATCTCCCGTGACGTCGTGTTTGACGAAGGGCGAGGCTGGACCTAGGACAAGGGAGTGGACGACGGCTCGACTTCGAACCTTAGAGACTTTGTCGTCGACTACGTCCACTTCGAGGGAGCGGGGGGAGCTAGCAGCTCGTCTTCACCGAGCTCATCTACCTCAGCTCGTCTACCTCAGCACCTGGGTCGTCATCAGCTTCGGCGAGTCCACCTGCACCATAGGCTACACCCCGCTCTCCTACACCGGCGCCCACACCTCCAAGGTCGGCACCAGCAGCTTCGGTCCGTGACGAGCAGCGCACGGTGGAGTTAGCCACTCCGTTGTCCAACGACGAGGACCACGTCGATGCCTACCACAACGACGAGCCTATGCGCTACCGCACCATGGACAACATCCTCGGCGATCAACCAATCCCTGGACTAGCGATGCACGACTTCAAGGAGTTGCACCTGGCGCACGAAGACGGCGAGCCCCGCTCCTTCGCTGAGGCGGAGGGAGACGCGGCATGTCGCGCCTCGATGCAGCAGGAGATGGACACGGTCGAGCGGAACCGGACGTGGGAGCTAGCGTATCTTCCTGCCGGCCACCGCGCCATCACCCTTAAGTGGGTCTTCAAGCTTAAGAAGGATGAGGCTAGGGCGGTGATCAAGCACAAGGCGTGTCTCGTGGCGCGCGACTTCATTCAGTAGGAGGGAGTCGACTTCGACGACGCTTTCGCGCCCGTTGCGCGGATGGAGTCCGTCCGTCTCCTCGGTCCAGGAGGGCTGGCATGTGCACCACATGGACGTCAAGTCCGCCTTCCTCAACGGTGACCTGAAGGAGGAGGTCTACGTCCACCAGCCGCCGGTATTCGTCATCCCCGGCAAGGAGAACAAGGTTCTCCGCCTACGCAAGGCCCTCTACGGCTTGCGGCAGGCGCCACGAGCTTGGAATGCCAAGCTGGATTCCACTCTCAAGCAAATGGGGTTCCAGCAGAGTCCTCACGAGGCTGCTGTCTACCGGTGGGGCAAGGGAGGCAATGCCCTGTTGGTAGGCGTCTACGTTGACGACTTGGTGATCACCGACACCAACGAGGACGAGGTGGAGGCGTTCAAGGAGGAGATGAAGGCCACCTTCCAGATGAGCGACTTGGGCCTTCTCTCCTACCTTGGGATCAAGGTCCACCAAGACAGCTCCAGCATCTCCCTTCGCTAGACCGCCTACGCCAAGCGCATCGTCAGAGCTGGGCGGACTCACCGGCTGCAACCCAGCCAACACTCCCATGGAGGAGAGGCTGAGGCTGAGCCGCGACAGCATGACAAAGGAGGTTGACGCCACGTAGTACCAGCCCATGCGCATGCTTCCGTTCGCGCGTCCGCTTCTAAGCCCAAGCACCTTTGACCACCGAGCACAGTTGGATAAAATCAATAAAACATCACTAAAACCTTGACTCACATTTATTTTAGTGTTTCTATAATCCAAGCCAAGCTCAAGAAACAAATTAGATCTGGCACCAGGATGTCTAAAAAAAGGGGGAAACGCTCCAGCTTGCTCCAAACATACAGAGCAGGGCTGAAAAGATGATTAAAGCAATCAGTGGCATTACTAAAATTCTGCAGATGGGCAGACAGGTAGATAGGTCCTGTTGATGTATGGCAAAATTTGCACTTCCAAAATCTGCCCTGGACGCTGATGGGAAGGAAGTCTTGCTTGGAAGTAAACCAAACGCAGACCAAATCCAGGCATCTGGTCACTTGAGATTTGAGAAAATATTTTTATTACTGAACACCGTGGCTTCCATGTCACATCTTATAGCTCAAACCTCCCTCTCTCCCTCATAAAGTACAACCAACTGAACCAAGGCACCAAACTCTTCAATTACTGCCCAAACACAAAAAGAAGGAACCATGCGGTAATACCGGCTCATCAAACACCTAACCAATACATGACTGATCAAGACGCAGGTGCCAATCAGTTGACTGTGGAATGGTTCCACAACATGTGCACATAAGCTGATATGCATAATGTATGGTGTATTTTTTAGAGTTATTAGTGGTTTTATTTTGACCACTGGCACACCGGATACATTCGAATTCAAAGAGGAAAACAGAAACGACCTTGGGGGCAAGGTTATTAAATCAGCTAGTCGTCGCTAGTTGCCCTGGTACCGACCAGGACGACTAGTCGACCCTGGTCTGTCTAGTCGTCTATATAATCGTCCTGCATATACCAGGGCATATATGGTATATATACCATATACTATATACTTATATAGTAGGAATCGAGCATCAAGACTATATTTCCGGTTAGTTGGAATGTCCAGAACTCCATATTCTTGTGTTGCTATAGCCTTTTCTATAAGGGATGCAACATCTGGAGAAGCTGAGGATGCTGAACAAGCAGCAGCTGATGCAACTGATGAGCTCATCTTCGTGCTCCCATGGACCTGCAGATGGGGAAGAGAACCGGCGAGCTTCCTTGTGTCCTGCGCACCCGTGACCTTCCCTTGACCCTTGCTGCCCTACAGCAGGAGGGAGGAAGAGCAGGGAAGATGCACGGACAGGCAGCTGGGAACCGGAAGGGAGGGAGGAAGGAAGAGAGCAGCTGTTGCACGCGCACAGCAACTTTGCAGCTGACAGCTGAAGGTTTCACGGCAAGGATATCAAGGCGTCGCCTAGTCATCGCCTGCGTATGGCGTCGCTTCAGGGACCAAGGCATCGCCTAGGCGTCGGGTGGACTCCACACACACCAGAGGAAAAGGCGCTGTGTGTGGGAAAGAGTGGGAGCCTAGCACGCGCGCTTGTAGGGAAAGAGAGGAGGCGAGCGAAAGAAAGGGGGGCGCGGGAATCTTGCGAATCACGCGGGAAGAGAATAAATCGCGCCCGCGGGGAAAGAGAGTGCAGGAAAGAGAGAGTCGCAAGACTTTACCTCCCACTCCCGCGAGCACACGCGCATCTGGAATCCATACGAGTTGAAAGAGGAGAGGGGGAGGGAAAGAGAGGAGAGAGGTAGAGGGAAGAGGGCGGCAGGAGATCCTGGAAGCCAGGCGGCGGGCGAACCAGAAGCTAGCACCGTTGCCCTGCTTGCCCCAGTCGACGCCCACTGCCCCTTCTATTCTTTGATTCCCGACTCCTCCACCATTAGCGACTCCTCTGCTCTGCCTCTCTGCCAGTGGTATGAGCGGTTCACAGCACAAGTACACCTTTTCTCTTCCTCCCCCTCTTTCCTCTGTTTTGTTGTTTGCTCCTTCGCTTGGATAGTTGGATTGGACTGTATATACTGGGTTGTCTGCTGGCTTTAGACTTTGTGCTAGATTGCTAGGTGGTTGACTGGTTGTGCTTGGCTGTTCTCTTCTCTGCAGAGAACAAGGCAACAACATAATGGAGAGTCCAGCTGCATATGATCCCAAGAATGATCCAAAACGAAGACCACTGAACTCGAATGATCCAGGATGGGATTATGGCTACTGGGCAGACCTTGAGGAGCGAGATAAAGTGACATGTAAGCTTTGTGACAAGAGGATTATAGGTGGAATTATAAGGTTCAAGAAACATCTAGCTGGTGGCTATGGAGATGTGATTCCATGTCCAGAGGCTGGCACAAGGAAAAAGATTCAACAATGCTTGGACGCTGCTAACAATGCCAATGAGTTTGCTGATGATGGATATTGAGAGATGAGAGCTAAGGGTTGGGTGCTATGTCATTAGTAATTAAGTTGTTATGTATACTTTGCTTCTATAAATTATAGTGCCATTATATATTAAGATGTTCCTATGGCATCGCCTTGCCGCGCGCCGCCATAAACGTCTTGGCATCTGGAAGGGGGTAGCTTGCCACACCTCACCTTACCGCCTTAATAACCTTGTTTCACAGTGTGAGGAGGTGAGGGAAAGAGTCGGAGAGATATAGGAAAGAAACCCTAATGGGCTTGGCCCAAACAGAACTAGCCCAGTAAGCTGAAGCTGCCCATCTGCCTATTTAATGTCTAGCCAGTCAGGGTACGCAGTCGGACGACTAATCGCGACTAATCAATGATTAATCGGACAACCAGGTTTCTGATCGCTCTAATCGAGTCGGAGTGCCTAATCGAGTGCTGGGTACCGATCAGGACGATTAATTGTGATTCAGACGACCTGATAACACTGCATGGGGGTAGGACTGCGAAGGTAAAGGGGGCGAGGGTGCAGGCCCGCAGAGTTTGTAGATGGAAGATACGCTTGAGGCCCCACTCAACTGAAGTGTCTCAAAAATCAGCTTAATAAACATGGAAATGTCTTGACGTAGCAAAGAAAGAAGGTTGAGTAATAAATGGCAATGAATAAACAAGGAAAAAACTCGCTACCTCAACCATATTTTCCTCAATGAAGCAACCCACCCCCATGTTTGTCATGTCTGCGCCATTGTGTTGAAGGATCCTGAGCTTCCCTTCCTATATAGTTCACCACAATGAAAGCATTAGCAATTTGCCATACCTTTTTTGTTTATTGAATAATTTTCTACCCACCTTAGTCCCATAAACAAGGCCACCTCCTGGTGAAGGATGAAAGCATCCAACATTGACTTCATCTTCAGTGCTAGGAAGCACTCTCACAAGCTCCATATCTGAAACTCTATATACCTAAAGTAATAAATGAAAAAAGAAAGATTGATAATTTGGCTTACATTGTACACAAAGTATGAGCAATATTAGTAGTTGTGGAGGATAATAAGCAAGTCATTTTGAATCCCAAGTATCAGAGAGTAAGTATCATGCAACTGCAGAACCAGCACTGTCACCATCCCCCATACAATAATTAATATGATATCAGTTACCAATCAAACTATGATTTGGAAACTGGAATATGATTGTCATATCTACCTCCAAAATAGTATATACAGGAATCCCATTTTCTCCTTCCACGACTATGCTCCTAAGGAGCGAGCTATGACGACGACCATATGCCAAAAGTATGTGTTCGGATGTAGGTGAGAACTGCATCAAAAGAGAGAAACAGGATCCAATTCAACGATGAGAACTGCAGAAATGTAAGATCCATCTTTCATCAGACTCAGGTCCTAAATGCTTTTTGCAACAAAAACAAACTGTTACAGAGTGAGTCCCAAACAAGTGACAGGTTATAAAACATGATAAAAGGTTGCTATCGACATATAAAAATGCAAAGAAACACAAATAACTGAAGAAAACCTGAATGGAAGTTAAGCAATGTGCTGCCCTTATTGCTCTGGAAGCAAGAATATCCCCAAATCTGCAAAGGTATAACCAGTTTTGAGATATGTGGGCCGTTCACAAACAGTAACCTAGTATATAAAAAATAGTAAAAAGACAATCAAGAGAAAAAGTACGTCTCCTCCTCAAGCGAATAAACCCGAAGCTCATAAATAACTCGGTGAGAGGGAAGCGGGTGACGAGTTGGTGATGATCCAGCCCCTTCATAAGGCACAGGCAATTGGCTACCATGGTCGCCTTCTGTTTGAGGCAACAAACATGCAACGCAAGCTACCAGAAATCGTCCACATGGGGAAAAATGGGCACCCATTTCACTGTAAAATTGGTAAGTTCAGAGTAAGTAATGAAGTCACAATTCCCTGCTGAAGCTCAAGATGCAACAAATGTACAGGTACAATTCACATATGACAAAACATATACACAAACGCAACAGAGCAATTTATTCACAATTGTTTTACAGTGTAAACAGGCCTGGAGCTTGTGCTTATTACGATTGGTTACATTGCAATATTAGCAAAACAGTAAACTAATAATACTAATAGAAGTAACAGTTTTGATATTACCAAAATGGAATTAAGAAGAAATGATATCACAGTGAAGCACCTGCAAAGAACGGCATGAGAAATCGTCAGACGGCATGCCTCAGGTTCTAAAGGAACACATGGTTCCTTGATATCATGCCACCATATTCTGAGCTTCACTGTACAAGGCAATTCAGTACCAGGAGCAAGCATTGACGCAGTGATTTCTGAACCAGCACCTAGTGAAGCAGCATGAGCTCCATCTTCGTCAATTTGAGGACCTAGGAGCAAACTCCCAACCCCAGGTACAGAGCGTGAGGCATAGCGTCGATTTGGTCCCCTAGAACTGCCAGCAGTAAGGGGAATCGATGATGAAGCACTTGGACATCCAAAGTTATGCATGTGTGGTGATTCCCTAGTCAAGTTATTAATCCCTGCAGTACCAGCAATAGATAGGTCTACAAGGACATTATTGTTCACAAGTGCAGGGTGCAAACCTGTACGGTTTTGGGCCATCAAAAAACCCTGCACAAATGGCACCTCCCAGTTATGTGAGTCGCCGAAGAGAGAATGATCCTGTTGTCCACTTCCTATATTTCTTAGGAACATTTGAACATCTAATCCACCAGTGAGGAGCATATTCAGTGGCATAGCACGGCATAAAACAGATCCTGAAGGCCCAGGTGTTGATGGGATTGGCTCAGTGCTGCTCAGGGAAGACACTTGCAAATCATCTCTAGCACTGAACCTCTCAAGATTACTAATAGAGCTGCCTCCCTGCAGTCTTGAGTTAGACTGGCCGCACGCACCATGCATTTCAATTCCATTTGAAGTAGGCACAGTGACTGCATCTGATATGTCATTAGATGAAGTTGGCTCTCCAGGACATACATCCATAGGGGTAGCAAACTGTTCAAGCTGTACATTTGCAGTATCTGATGTGGAAGGTTGAACTAATGATGATCTCTGCTGCACAATGGTTGAACTACTGTCATTGCCAAGCACATGTAAAATTCCATCATCTCTGAGGTACGCAGGCCACAGTAAGCAAGGTGACATCACATTGGGCTCAGGAAGTGGACAGAACCTAGAATTAGTGTTTGTCACCAGCAGGGCTGAAGGGTAATTTGAATATCCAGAGGATCTTGCCAGAGTCAGGGGTGAGTCTGCAGACTCTATATTATTAACCTGAAATTGAAGTCATGCGTAAGTTCATACAGCAAACATGAAAAATTGAAGGGAAAGCATAAGTGCAGACCTCAGGGTATTCTATATTTCTACCTCTGCTGTCAGAAGATATGGAGCCCCATGCGGGTGAAAATGCACAGCTCTCAACGAACGGCGGGTTTTTAGTATGATGGCAGGGAAAGAAGCGTCATCTCTCTTATTGTAGTTCCATATGTACAACTGACACAGAAACATATAAATTGATTTGGGCATTAGTGTATGGTATGTTAACTGACTCTATTAAACAGTACAGAAAAACTTTGTTTTTCTTCTTGCTTTTCAAGGTCAACACAGCAAGTCTCACTTTGTGACCTGATGCAACTGCCAGAATCTCCCCTCTTCCATGAAATGCAATGGACGCAATTGGCCGATCTGCCAGAGGAACATCAAATATAAGTTATGTTGTTCTCCAAATTGGTTATGAATAGAATGCAAGGAGTCTTCTGAGAGAAATTACGGAAGTCTTGTGATCCAATACAATCTGATGTATTAGCATCCCATAGACGAACTTCATGATCCAAACTTCCGCTAGCCAGGATGTCAGAATGTAATGGATGGTACCTGACCTGCAATAAGTTAGCAGCTTAAATTTCTGATGTAATATTGGGATGCAAAGAAAGTTCAAAAAGATCATTTCGTCTATTCTTGATTTCTTGTAATAAAAAAAAAAAAGCTGTCAACTAGCAAGATTGTCACCAAGTAACAAATATAATATGGAAATAGAGATTATAAAATTAATGTTCTAGACAGACCATTATTGAAAAATAAAAAAACACACTATAACTAGATTCCTTCCTGTAGAAGGTAGAGAATCACCACTCACCCCAATGTGGGTGGGGAGCCTTTCATATATATAGCCAATAGGCATACATGGAAGTTACATACATGGGTAGCTATTTCCTGTACAAGGAAACTATCCTAGGCTATACATGGCAGCTAGCCTATCTAGGGAAACACCAATCAATCGTTAATTGATGTAGATATATACATATCCTAATACCCGCCCGCAATCGTAGCGGAAGCATCACGGACGCATAGACTGGTCCGAAAATCAGTGAAGAGCTGGACAGGCAGACCCTTGGTCATGATATCTGCGAACTGATGCGCAGATGGGACATGGAGAACACGGACTGTCCCGAGAGCGACCTTTTCAGCAGACGAAGTGGATGTCAATCTCGATGTGCTTCCGCGGTGGTGGTGGTGGGCGGGTTGGCAGCCATGTGAGACGGCGCTCACATTGTCACGATGAACAACCGTCATAAGCGGGATGGAGATGTGGAGCTCTGTAAAAAGCCGACGCACCAAAGAAAGACTCAAGCAACAACATGGGCCACTGCTCGATACTCTGCTTCGGCATTGGAGCGAGACACGGTCGTCTGACGCTTGGAAGACCAGGACACCAGGTTGTCACCGAGGTAGACGCAGAAGCCAGAGGTAGAACGGCGCGTGTCTAGGCAGCCAGCCCAGTCGGCGTCGGAGTAGGCTGTGAGCTGGTCAACGGCACCGAAGCCCAAGTGAAGACCGGCGGACAGAGACCCCTTGACATATCGCAGGATGCGCTTGATCAGCGCAAGATGCGGCTCGCGGGGGTCGTGCATGAAGAAGCGAGACTCTTTGGACAGCATAAGCCGTGTCCGCCTTGTCGAGTGAGGTCTTGGAGCGCACCACAGAAGGCTCTCTGTACTCGAGGGATTGGCTGGCTGGGCGCCCTCGAGGCGGACAGCTTGGTCGGGCATCCACAGGAGTAGCTGTCGGATGGCATTCAGACATGCCAGCACGCTGGAGGAGATCAGCAGCGTACTGCCGCTGGGAGAGGAACAACCCGCTGCTGTCCCGCGTCACCGAGATGCCGAGGAAGTGGTGTAGGTCGCCGAGGTCCGTCATGGCGAACTCCGAGTGAAGGCGTGAAGTGACATGCTGGAGAAGTGCCGGTGACGACGCGGTGACGATGATGTCATCAACGTAGAGGAGGTAGGCCATGTTGTCGCTTGACCTTGTAGAGCGAACAGGAGGCGTCCGACTTGGAGGTGGTGAAGCCGATCTTTGCAGATGAAGTTGGAGAAGTTGGTTCCAAGCACGCGCGGTGCTGCTTAAGTCCATACAAGGACTGCGACAAGAAAGATGAGTTAGGGAGCGGCCGGGGTCGACGAAGCCTTTCGGCCGCTTTCGCGATGAGACCCGTCTCCTCAAGGTTGTTGTGGAGGAAGGCATTCTTCACGTCGAGGTGGCGTATGGGCCAATCTCGCGGCCTTGAGAGATCTTGAGGACGGTGCGGATCGTGGCGGCTTTGACAACGGGCTGAATGTCTCGTCGTAGTCAACACCGGCCTCTGGGAGAACCAGCGGACGACCAGCGTGCCTTGTCTTGGGCGAGGGAGCCGTCGGAGTGGAGCTTGTGCTTGAACGACCACTTGCCGATGTGATGTTCGCACCATCTACGCCGAGGTACGAGGCGCCAAATGCCGTTGTCGGCGGCGCCTTGTACTCTTCCGCCATCGCGGTAGCGCTTAATTCGGATCGGGCGAGTGCTGCTGCGATAGTTCACCAGACCGTGGCGAGGCGACGGAAGAAGTCGTAGCGCCGGGCGGGCGTGAGGCTGTCGATCTGTGGGACGTGTCATAGGTCGAGGCCACTGATAATGCTGAGAGGCCTTGGTGGTGCCGCTGGCTGCAGTCTTGGTGGCATTGGTAAGGCAGGGCACAGGGACTTGAGGCAGGCGGCAGGAGCCACCGGCTTCGGTGGGCAAGGCTGCAGGAGTCCGCACTGGCGAGTGTAGACGGCGGCACCAAGTTACAGCCTCCAGTGTGGCCCGCCCGCAGAGAGAGAAGCGGTGGAGTGTGCCGCGTGGCAAGCGTAGCCAAGGGGCCCAGTGGAGTACACTGGGTCCAGAGCGCCGGAACGGATCTCTCGGTGGTGGCGAGTGGCGGAGTAGTGCTCATTGGTGTCGGTGAGAGAGAGTCCCCTGCATTAGAAAATCAAGTGAAGACGGCATGGAAGCCGCCGATGGTGTCTTTCGAGAAGCGGAAACACGGACTCGTCGAAAATGACATGGCGAGAGATGATAATGCGACGAGTAGACATGTCGGCGCAGCGGTAGCCCTTGTGAGAGGATGGATATCCTAGGAAAACACAAAGGTCGCGGAGGCGAGGGGCGAGGTTGTGTGGGAGGTGGCGGTGAGGTTTTGGAGAAGAGGCACCCAAAACGCGAAGTGAGGAGTGTCTGGGATGGTGCCGTGAAGGAGTTGGTGAGGATTCATTGTGGATGGAGGAGAGGACGCCTATTGAGGAGGAAGGTGGGCTGTGGTGAGAGCCTCGGCCCAATAGGGAGGTGGCATGGACGCATGGAGGAGCATGGTGCGGATGGTGTTGTTGGTGGGTGCGGAGCATGCGTTTGACTTTGCCGTTTTGTGGGGAGGTATAAAGGGGGAGAGGCGGAGCATAATGCCATGGTGGTGAGGAAAGAGGTGGTGGCGTGGTTAACAAACTCGGTCCCATTATCGCTTGAAAGGATTTAGGTGTGGTGCCAAAGCGTGGTGCGGCGTAGGCAATGAACTCGACAATGTGGCGGTGCAACTCGGATTTTTGGCGAAGTGGAAAGGACCAGTGAAGTAATGAGAGAAATCATCTACTAAAACAAGATAATATTTGAATACGGAGTTGCTAAGCACGGAGATGTCCACACATCACAATGAACTAAATCAAAGCGAGCATTGGTTCTGAGGTGGAATGTGAATGGGAGTTGCACGTGCTTGCCAAGTTGATGAGCATGGCATAGGCATGGCGAGCTCTTATTGTAGGAGATGACCTGACATGCTCAGGAGAGTGGCGAGGCTGGTTGGACCGGGGTGGCCGAGGCGGTGGTGCCACTGAGAGGCGATGTGGTGGCGAGGCTGCAGGAGTGAGTGGTGTGGAGGGAAGGTGTAGAGGTCGCCACCACTATTGCGCCGAAGAGTCACGCGCCCGTCTGTTGGTCCTTGATGAGAAAAGCCACAAGCATCAAATTCAATTGAGCAAGCATTGTCACGAGTGAATTGTGAGACGGAAAAAAGGTTGCGCACTAAATCGAGAGCAACGAGAACATTGTTAAGGTGAAAAAGCAGAATTTGGAAAAGACGAGTGTGGATGTGCCACGGCGGTGATAGGAATTGTAGTGTCGTTGCCAACCGTGATGATGCTTAAGAAGAGGGTGGGGAAGAAGCGGGACAGAGTATACCATCCGAGGACGACATGTGGGCGTGGCACGGTGTCGTCGGACCCAGGGGGAAGACCCGGAGGGACATCTGGTTTGGCGGCAATGAGGTCGGCTGATCCAGCCCGCCATCTTCTTGCTGAGGGGGGGAGGAGGCGTCGGAGAAGCGGGCGGGGCGAACGCTGTGCGCTGAAATTTGAAGGAAAGGCGCCGAGGACCCTGTGGCCACGCCAGCTTGGTTCGGTGTCGGATGACGCCAGTTCCTTGGTCTGCTTCTTCTGCGCCCGCCCGTCATCGAGCTGCCGCCTGCCGCTGTGGAGCGAGGCGTAGCAATACTAAAAAACCATTGGCGGAGCAGAGGACTTCTGCCCTCCCCCAGAATTGAAGCCGCCCCTGCCCTTCTTCAGCCGACCGCCGCCGGCGCCGCCGCCGCCGCGTCGTAGCCTTGTCCGCCAGAGCAGCTGCTGGCTGCTGCCACAGCGACCGTGCGGTGTACTATACCGCCCGTGTTCTTGCCGGAGATGACGCGGCACTATCTGCCGACGAGGCATGGAACGCCGTCCGAAATGACGGAGCCCTTGTTGGCGGCGGAGCTCCTTCAACACGAGCTTCTCACGAGTGGTGGCGAAGTCCGGCAGCGGGTGGGAATCGGCGATGTTGTCGGCGGTGCTAGCAAAGCGGGGATTGAGGCCACAGAGGAAGTTGAGGAGCTGAGGAGTCGGTGATGGTGCGCGCCGATCATCAGCAGAGAATCGGTTGTGGCCTTCATCCACCGGGCGAAGTCGTTGATGGAGGAATCGCATACGGGTCATGGAGTGGAACTTCGTGACCCAAGAAGATGTGTATGAGCCTTGTTGGCCTCAAGAGGCGCCGGATGGCAACCCGAGCTCGCGTGTGAGCCCGATTGATCTTGCATGACAAAGGCCGATGACGTCCCGTCCGCAGAGCCGAGGAGGAGCATTGCGACGCAGCAGCGTCGGCAATGGCCCAAGCAGGTCGATGGGCGGGCCTCCGCCGTCTGCGTCGACGTCTGGAAGGAGACCGAATTTCCGCAGAGAGAGGTGAAAACAGCTCCCACTGGTTGAAGTTGGGCCGTTAGTTCAGGTCACCGGATGTGGTTCTTGACATTGATCGTCGCAGTAGGGGAAATGACGAAAGACAGGAGGCGAGGATGGAGCCCATAGCGGTGAGAGTCTTTGGAGGGTGTGGTGGAGTGGTGATGAGGAGGTCGACATGGGCGACACTGGGAGGGGAGCAACGCAGCAGGGGGGGGGTCAAGGTGGGAGGAGGAGGAGGATCTAAAAGCCTGATACCATGTAGAAGGTAGAGAATCACCACTCACCCCAATGTGGGTGGGGAGCCTTTCATATATATAGCCAATAGGCATACATGGGAAGCTATTTCCTGTACAAGGAAACTATCCTAGGCTATACATGGCAGCTAGCCTATCTAGGGAAACACCAATCAATCGCTAATTGATGTAGATATATACATATCCTAATACTTTCTTTGCAAGAGCTTGAAGCACATGGTGCTAATCTAAATACACTAGAAAAAAATATATGCCGGTATGATAGACATACCACCCAAGGAGTGCGTCGATGTCCACTCAAAACCTTCAAACATTTCCCTGTATGGCAGTCAATTATTTTCACAGTATGGTCACCACTGAGAAAACAGATTGAGTTAGTTGGCAAGTCCTTCAGTTCAGTTTGTTATACAGTGAGTCAATAAACTTACTGTGTGACGCAAGTGTTTTTCCATCTGGACTGAAAGCAGCTGCAATAGTTGACCTAGGAGGTGGCAAAAGAGGGCAATACTTGGCAGTCCAGCGATGCAGGGACTTTGATTCTGCCCTGTACACAGTGAGGTTTAAACGAATCAGCCAATAAAAAGACAGATGTGAACAGACTCACATGTGACTCAGTAGTTGATATATTTGATGGGATAAGTCTCATGTGCTAGTCTTTGTGGGGCTGTGCTGGTCACATGGTCTTTTTGGCTGCATGGTCTGTTTTTAGGACAGCATCTTAGACTAAAGGACAGCATCTAGGACAGCATCTTAGACTAGCATCTTGGCATATGCTTGGCTGGCTAGCAGCCTATAAATATGTATCCCCAACCCCTCGGATTGGCATGGCATTTGTATGGCATTGTGTGAGAAATAAACCAGAAAATTGCCCCAACTCCTAGTGTCATCCTCTCTCGATGAGTAAGAATTCTGCTACTACCAAGAGTAAGAATTCAGCGACTAACAATATTATGGACTTGTTCTTAAACATCAATAAACAAACTTTCCTTACCAAGAAAAAATATCAAGTTTAGCATCTGCATCGGCAAACCTTAACTCAATTAAATCAGGATCATATTTTGGAGACTTATTCCATATTCTTTTGGCGTGGTGTTTCGTTCGAGGTGAGACCTCTCGTTGAGTTAATAGATGAAAGATGTTCCTGATCAAGCCAAAATAAGACAGAAGTTAATTTTAACAAATGAACATATTTGAAACAATACAGCTATCAATATTAATTAACTGTTTTTTTCTCTACGCGCAAGAGAATTGTGCATCATTTCATTAAGAGGAACTGTATTATCAATTCGTCTGGCTACTCGCAATTAATCGTGACTAGTCGTCCTAATCGGTAGCCCGATCTCAACTAGGGGGTACGACTTCGGCGACTAGTTTTCTGGTCACCCGATTAGTAGTTGACTAATCACAATTAGTCAGACGACTAGGTGCTGGACGACCAGAAACCGAATTGAATTACTGGGCAGCTAAGACAAGGGTTGTATCTGGAATAGCTTGGGCCGCTTTGGCTTAAGTTTTTCAATCAACTGACTTACTTGTGTTTGATTGTGTTCCAAGCTTATTCACTTCTTTAATCAGTCATAAAGCACGAAGTATTGTTTCATAGCCTAGAAAAAAAACCTAGAGGCAAGGATCTTTACATAAGGTCTCTCTGTTCTGACTAAACCTTGTATACACATAAAAGCTCTCTGAAACTGCACAGCTCAATGTCTATGTCCATTACTCCTCCTTGTGACTGGATGGACTAATTTAACTGGTAAGTGTTGGACATAAAAGCTGAGCTCTGAAATTGATTTATGCATGTTCATTCTTCTTCTCAAAGCATTTATGCACGGGTTATAGTTATAGGATATGGAGATGGTTAACATATATAGTTGAGACGCAATACACAGTAGTATCATCATTTTCATATATTTGAATTTGGACAGATCCAGTATAAGTGAAGTATATAAATGGAAGAAAGCACATATATATTATCCTGATACCAAAAACGATGCTTGTGCTAAAAACATGTATTATTCAGGAGCTCATAAATGGCAGGCACTTGCTGAACAACATATGTTTAGTTTCTGGTATGCGGAAGAAGTTTTTGGAAAAAAGGATATCAGCCAACAGTATTAATGAACCAAGGCATTGCAGGGTGTTCTATGCCTTGCTTGTGCCAAGCTACAGAGAGAGACGATCGAGAAGCATGACATGTCTTATCTAAAGAGGATGTTGAGTTGATCTTTAAATTTCATGCTTAAGGGCTTAAGGCTACAGATGGAGAGGAACGAATGGAGTTTTTAGAGACATACTAGATTGTCAAAACATTATATTTCTGACATATATCACCATTTGGTCAACTGTTTTAAAAAAAGGGAAGATATATATGTGGTTAATGATAGCAAGTTATATATATAAGCAGTCTCACTCTAGCTAGCTAGGGTTATAGAAATGGTTTGTCGGCTACTTGACAAAGCACAGAATAGTCATCAAACCAAAACAGAGAAATTAACTGAGCTAGGTCGGCCTTTTAAAAAAAAAAAAAAAAAAATCTGCTGGCTAGCTAGGAATTAAAGAATGCAGCCACGACTCCATGTCCTGAGCCAATGGATTCAGTTTTGGTAATTAAAGAGGATGACGATGGCATCACATGCATGTATATATGTTGATAGGAGTAATTAACCCTGGATATCCCAATCTGTAGAAGCAAATTAACCTATGAACACTCATCAGCAGCCATTCAAGCCTTCCTTTCAGATGTTCAGTTACCGAGATTTCTTTGAGCGAGTAATTGAAATGTGCAGAAAGCTAGTAAAATGATGAAAGCACCTATGAAATGGAGGCTCGCATTCAAACCTGAAAGATATCACACATCTAGGTACAGGACGCAAGAAGCAAAGAAATCCTCTCTATCCCAAGGACAATTCGAGGAGGTTGGTGCCTCCGACGGGATCTGAATGGATTAGCAGAACATCGACATGGACATACTAGATCTATCGATGCGCTAGAAGAACACCTGCAGAAAAAATAAAGAACAAAATACAAGGAGATAGAGATAGAAGAAGGTGAGTGGAGGATACCTGAATGGATTCGACCTCTGTCGCTGAGGCTCTAGGATTCGCGGATCGAGGACGTGGATTTGCTCGCCCTCCTGTCGATGCCTTCTCGCGGCCCTCAGCTCGGGGCCTCCGTCGCCGCAAGGAACCCTCGGCTCCATCGGGTCTAGCCAGCGAAGGGAGATCGAGTTGTCCCCGCCTTCTCGCTGCCCTCAGCTCGAGGTCGCCGCCGCCGCAAGGAACCGTAGCTCGGCTCCGTCGGGTCTAGCAGAACGAGATCCTCTAACTTCACCTCAGCGATGGCAGAGAGCAGTCGAAGACAGATCGCCACCCGCTACGGATCCTACGTCCGCGCGTTACCTGGCAGTTTCCAACATCGTTCCATGCGCCACAACCCTCCATGCGTTGGGCCTCGGCCCAACAAGAATGCCGTCTGTTTCGTTGAAATAGCTGGCGCTTGCTTTTTCTGTTGCGCCCTTGTCTAAAGATGGCAATGGGCCGGGTTCGCGGCGGGTGGAGCGTTCGTGGATCCACACCCGAGACCCGACAACAAAACCCGAACCCGCCCTGAACCTGGTTTCGGGGGAAGATCTGCCCCTGCCCCCGAACCCGCTGGGTCCGTGAAACCCGACGGGTTCCCCGAAACCCGGGACAAACGGATGGGATCGAGCTTCGACCTGCGACTGCTCTCTCCAACTCCGTAGCGGAGGGCTGCGTGCCGTCTTTGTGTGCTGGCGATATCTCGCATGAGCGCGTCGCGTGCCGGCCGCCGCCGCTTTGCCCTCTGTTGTCGCGCACGACGATTGCGTGCTGGCCGCCGCCGCCGCCTTATCATCTATGGTGTGCGCGCATGGATGATGGTACTGGACGCCTTGAGCGAGGGAAGGGAGCACGGCGGTTGGGATGGGGTCACGGGGCTAGGCTCTGGTTTCTCAGTTCCTGGCGCTGCCGTGCTGGCGGCTGGGATGGGGTCGGGGCTAGTGCGAACGAGAATGGTGGGAGTGGGATGGCTGTTTATATACCTAGGGTTACAGGTTACATGGGCCAGGTATGGTGGGTTTTTTTACTAGATTGCTTAATTTCAGGTCCCCGACAGACACCCGCGAGGGAAATTTAAAACCCGCACCCGCCCCACCTCGTTTCGGGTCCCCAAACCCGCAAACCCGCGGGGCCAAAACTAGACGTGCCCCCGACGGGTCTGAAATCCACGGGTTTCGGGTACAGACCCACCCCGCTGCCATCCTTACCCTGCTGTTTTTTTGGCGTGAGGACGACGAGGCAGCCGCCATCGCCGGTGCTCGTGCTTGGCCGCCAAGAATAGTTACCCTACTCTACACTCCGTTTCTTCGTACGTAGGAGTAGACTGCAGTAATGTTTTCCTAATTTGGTTGCCCTCCCTCTTAATCACCATGTTACCGTACCCGATGGATTCAGCACTCACAGATTCGTGGAACTCGAGGTTCTCGACACTCCGGCAACCACCCAAGCTCACTGTCAACGCCAAACAGCTTGGTTCGGTAGTATCATGTTCAAGTTCACGTTCTCTAGGAGAAGATAGGCATTACATAGGGACTGCGCACTGGGCCTCCCATCCTGTTTCATGCGTTGCATGCGAAAGTAGAAAAGTACTTCTATAATTCTAAACCCAATCTGGCCCAGTAACTCTGCTGTTGGCGTGCTTGGTGTGCCTAGCTCGCCTCCCCGTCCGCCAGTCGCTCCTTCTCTACTACTTCTTTAGTAGTTTCAGCGCTCATATCTTCAGGCCCTTCATGTTCTTCCGGCCCCTGCTCTCCATTATTGGTGACATCTCCTCCTCCTTTACAAATGGCTTGTCCCTAAGCCGGTGCACGAGGAAAGTCTTGACAGAGCGCTTGCTCATCCTCCCAGGCAGCAAGAGTTAGAGGTAGCAGGGACCACTGGATCAGCACCTAAGAAACGATCTTGTTCTTGTGTTGCTGAAGACATCGGTCCAGTATAGCACCTGAAACTAAATTGTAGGATCTGGTAACTCGGTACTTACAGATTGAGTAGAAGCCACCGCCTGCTTCAATTGTGAGACATGAAAAATTGGGTGAATGTTGTAGTCAGCAGGGAGTTGAAGCTTGTAGGCCACTTCTCCAATCTTGTCAGTGATCATGAAAGGGCCAAAGAACTTGAAGGAGAGTTTGTTGGAAGATCTATTGGGCAATGATGTTTGGACATATGGCTGGATCTTGACATAAACAGAATCACCAATTTGAAAGCTGCAAAATGAACATTTCTTATTTACCTACAGCTTCATCTTATGTTGAGCACGAAGGAGATGTTGGTGAATCAATTGTTGCATCAGATCCTTGTCTTGTAGCCAAGTATTCAGATCAGAAGAATCACTAGTAGCTAGAGCATCAATGCCCAAGTGATGAGGTTCATGACCATAGAGGACAAAGAAGGGGGTGTGTCCTACAGTAGAGTGAAAAAAGGTGTTGTACCAGAATTCTACCAATGACAACTAACGAGATCCTAACATATGGGTATGTTAAGCCCTGGGATCAATGGTTCATGACCGAAGAGACCCCCCGACCGACCCTTGCAGGATCGCCCGGGGGTTCAGGGGATATACCCATCGGGTACGCTCGCACGCACCCTCAGACCAAGGAACCTGCCCGAGCCTGAGCACGCCATGGCCTCTACTCAGGGCTCGGGGGCTTGTCCGAGCCTTAGGCTCCCGATCGACGGGAAACCGGAGCGCTCGAGGAACCGACCTCGAACACTGGTGTCAAAAATGACAATTAAAGCAGTGAGATGTAAAGATAATCCTTACCTATCCCACTAGGGAGACGACAAGAAAGGCGGACTCTGCCCGCGTTGAGTAGGCCTCCTCTGGCGCCTCCATGAAAGGTCCTAATTGCTAGAGGGGGGTGAATAGCCTATAAAAATTTCTACAACAACACTAAGCCAAGTGGTTAGATAATTATGAAGTGAAGCGAGTGTTGCGCTAGCCTACTCAAAAAGTAAGACTCCTATCCAAAATTCTAGTTATCTATGATCTCTAAATCACACAAGAGGTTAAGTCACTACTGTTGGTATTTATTAACGCAAATAGAATATGAAGGATTCCGCAAGCGCATAGAATACCATTGTAGCATTTTACCGGGAGTATTCCAGTTATCGTTATTTATATTTTACCACAGGGAAACAATGGAGTAAAGACTTATTGAATATCAAAGGAGTAACTATTAGTCAACATACCAACATAGCTAGAGTAAGGGGTGAAGGTAATGATAGGAATTAAGGATAATGATACTCAAGGGATAGATCTATAAGATAACATAAATTAGTCAACTCGGGAGAGCAACGAGTGAGGTAGATTCCTGTGACATTCTTATTACATGGTCAAAGTATATATACATCCAACTATAGTTAAGACTAACTCTACTCTTGTGCACTTTGGGACGCCGCTTAGATGGTAGAGTACCCATAATAGATAACTCTACTGACTCGACTACGGTCCTACAATTTAAGAACCCGCTCAATTCGGAGTGGACTACAAAGGATAGACGGGGCTGTCACCTCCTGCTCCTACCACCTAACTAGAGAACAGGGTGTACTCATAGGCAGAGTATCGTATAAGCACCATGCCTACACGAGGCTCGACTACTTAGCCCAATCGATAAACTAGTAGGCTAAGCGCTCTATGAACCCGCACACAAAAGTAATAATAACCTCAACTAAGCATGTAAATAGGAATATTATAAATTTATAATAAGTCTTACAAGATGTGAAAGTGAAGATACAAGGCTTTGCTGAGCCTCCAAGACTAGATCCAGAACTTGAGCATGAGCCCAACTCGACCCTCACTCCCAAGCTACTAATCTACTACATTTGAGAGTCTAGACCTAATCCTCCTGGTGTATCTTGATCTCTGAATGAGAGGTATAAATTAGGGTTTTAGGGATGCTCTAGGGAGGGGGTAGGGGCTGCTAAATATAGGTTGGAGCATCAATTTTGGACCCTCGGATCAAACCGACTTGAAAGAATGGAGTAGATGCAATCTAGGAGGTGGTGGAGAACCAACATTCGAAGGAGGGCTGATAGGTGGGCCCAGGGGGCCGAGCGGCCTGCAGGTGGGGCCGGCTAGCCCCACATGGTAGCCACCTACTCTCCGCTTCGGTGGTTTGCCTTCTGGAGTCTTCCCACGTCGATTTCACTGTGGATAAACGTGATTTGCTTTAACGAATAGGCCCTCCTTGACGGTTTTCTGAGTAAATCCTCCTACAAACATAGATTCACCAAAACTTATGGAACTTATTTGTTTAAACCCCTAGACCTATGTTGGTGATCCTTTTTATGTATTTATATAAGTTATATTGACGGTTTATGATGAACGTTAACTACTGTCAATAAGCTCCCCCACACTTAACCTTTGCTAGTCCCGAAGCAAAGCCAAACTCAACACTGGATCAGGAGTTGCTACAATACTTTCACTCCTCAAAAGTACACAGGTGTTCAATCAAAAATTCTCCTCTAGATTAGAATAAACTGATCTGACTTTCAAACTTACCCATATTACCTTCAACCATGGGGCTTCTTAGCCTTCACTTGGGTCTTGAGCAATTAAAAGACAGAACGATCAAGTCAAGCACTATGTCTTAAGGTCTTTGTTCAACCATTGTTCTGGAGTTTTTATAAATTTTCAAAATAAAACTCAAAGATTCAATTGTATGGCACTCTCAAGTCTGTCAATATATGTGGTATTTGTGGATCCTCACCAAGGCAATAAAGATGTTATGCCTTTTCTCTTCCTACCACTAAGGCTTATGTGGAGTTCATAGGTAGGGAGAAAGCTAGAGCATACTTGCAATACATATATTATAAAGTCAAACATCAGATCCAAGAGAGTTAAGTCATACAATCAAATCAAGATGTGCATGTGTGTGGATGTATATGGTGGATATATGTATGGTGGCTAACCTAATTCTACTATGCTCCTTGGAAACATATCTCTCTTTTGAAATTTGAAAACATTTGCTAGAGAGTAGGGGCTATCTTATTCATCTCTTCTTTTTTCAAGCGGGCACCTGAGTACCTATTGTTTTAGATATCTTGGACACTTGTCCATTTTTTCTCAACTTTTTTTCTTTCTCTTTTTTTGAATAACTTTTGCATAGCCCCATGTCCCTTT